CCCCAAAACCCCAAAACCCCGCTATGTAAAATATCGAATATGTTTCTTAGGTTAATTAAATCAATAGATTAATTAAAAATCAAATAAAATCTCAATCTTTTAATATTTCCTCAGCACAGCTAATAGATAAATCCGGGAATAATTCCTTACTACTTGCTTGTTTTTTTGCTATGCCTGTGAGAATAAATTGAAAAAATGTCCATATCAGGATTTTTGATTTCTTTGTATTTTAACCCTGACTCTGAATAATAGGAATTTTTAAATGATATTTTTTATATATAGTGCATTAAGCAACCAACTTTGAGAATAATTCCATGCCTAAATCTTTTGAATTTATGGAGGAAATAATGCATTTCGTTTACATCACTTTTCTTATATAATCCAGACTCTTTTGAAATAAATGGCTCGCTCAGTAATTTTCCATCTCTATTTGTCAATTTTATGGCTATATCTATTCCAAATGGTCCAGGTGGTTGATCAAAAGATTCAAATATTCCAACTCCAAGTATAAGAACATCAACTTTAGAAGTCAAAACAATTCCTTCCATTAATGATTCTACTGGCCAACTACTATCTTTCTTGAAATCAGTGAATCTTTGAAAGAATCTTATCGGCTTTTCATCTATTTAATTTATATAAGGTATTCCAAAAAGTTGGAGAGTTTGACCATCTCCAATATTGTTTGCTCTAAATGATTTATATTGCTTTAATTATTTTTAGGTAGTAGAGATAACTTTAAAATTGCATTGATATAGCTTTTCCAGTGGTTTAATAATAGATGAGACTTGATCTGAAACTCTTACCTTATGAATCTATTAGGAAAACGTTTTATCAACTACACATTGAGTGTTTACTTGTATAATAAATTTCATGTCTTTTTCATCAACATTGGCCTTTTTAATTTTTTCTAGAGATTTACGCCTATTTGGTTCTTTTCATCAATTGTAATCTAAAATTATGCAACACCAAGTCTATGATAAGCTATTTACCATACTTTGTTATTGTAGAGTATCTGGAATAAGATCTTTGTCTTTACTAATTATTTTTTTGTGTAGATACACATATCCATATTAATTGTTATAAACTATTTCCTTATAAAAGAACTCATTCGCTTTCTTAGTTTTGAGGATATCATCTTCTCTTTTCCAATTTGATATCTTTATTCTGTTATCAACTTCCTTTTAAAATGTATCATGATATCTGGAAGCTATTTACAATGCTCCTTCGTCATCTTCTCTAAAGACAATAGAATTCCTTTAAATATTCTTTATTTTCAAATCACTATATTTCAATCCATTTTATTCGTTTTCATTCGATTCAATTTATTTTGTTGCCTCCATTCTGATAAATAGTTATTAATATATTGAATACTTCGAAGTTTAAATTGCTAATATTTAATTTTCATTCTAATATATTTTCTCCCATTATTATCCTATTCTATTTTAGACATAAGGGGTTTTGGGGTTTTGGGG